TTATACTTTTAGCAAATTATATGAATATGTACAAAATTTCCACTGGTTGAGAACTGTGAAATCTACCAATGTAAAATATGAGAATAAGTCCCAATTTAGCCAATTAGAAAGTGCAATAATATTTATACAGAACCAAACACCAAAGTCAGCAAGGTAGGGAGCCTCTATTGCTGTGCCAGATACTCAAGAGGCTGAGGCAGGAGGTAGTTTCAGCCCAGGAATTCAGGAGTTTTAGGTTAGCCTGGGCAACACAGTGAGACCCTCTCTCCTCTTTCATCTCACAATAAATAAACTAGAATAAAACACCAGTAAGCTAAACACCAAACTTAGTGATTCTTAAATAGGGCCTATATTTTGTTCCATTTTCAATTCATTTTGTTAAACTGGAAGACTTAAGGTAGGTAACCTTTGTTTATAAAGAATAAAAGCATTAAATATTTAATTCAAAGACTAATGCTTCATATTTTAAACACCACTTAAACATAATTTGTATAGCATAGACTGTTAAAATGCCCATTAATTCGAGAATATGATTTAATTTGCCCATGCATTGTCTCAGTTTATGACCAAATCAACTTATTGCAGTATTGATATTAAAAAGACCAAGTACCCATTTTGGGGCATTCATTTATATCTAGGTGTTTATTTCACAACCACCTTCAAGCTGCCTTATATTTGAATCAGCTATTAGTGATAGAGACAGGTGTGACCTCAAGCATTTCTGTTATTGACCCCTCACTTGTAAGGTTTAGGAGGAGTGCCGGTAAACTAGGAAAAGAGGGCTGTGATTTTACAAAGTGAAAAAAATGCAACACGAAGTAACGATAGAGCAACTATTGCTGAAAATTGTTTGAAGATGAAGGGAAACTCATTCACCCAGCACATGGAGTTTTCTTCTGGATTCATCTCAGGTTCATTCCTTCCTCACTGCTTTTAGATGTGATGGGTTAGAGCCCCCTTTTCTCTTTTCCTTTCCCATCTCTAAGCAGGAGAACTTGGGGGAGGAAGAAGGGAGGAGTGAACGTGAGCTTGTTCTCGGAGTATTTGCTTGTTTGACTTTCCAGAACCTCACCTTTCCAGAGTCCCAGGGAGAAAAGAGCAGTGATTGAAAAATCAACATAAAAAGACAAACTGCTGACACTGAAGGGAGCCTGAGCGCTTGAGGAGCCTTGCAGAACTTCTAGGTCTAAGCAAGTTCTTGGATGAGCAGCCCTCTGACTCAGCTAATGGAATAGAGAAGAGGCAGTCTATTGAAAGAAAAGTTTGGAAAACACAAAACACGGGGAGTTGATGTCTCTGTGCAAAGCAGGGACTAGAGCTAGCAGAGAGGATCTGTGTCTCTGAATCACTTTCTCCTCCAGGCCTGGGTTTGCAGTTGCAGTTCCACAACCTGGTATGGAGGAAAGTCCACTAGAGTGCAGCCCTTGAGCCCTGCCTGCCTGAATTTACTCCCTGGTCCTTGTAAATTTATACAGGTTATAATTTACTATTTTCATTAACTCAGAGTACAGAGGCGAGAAGAGTGTGTATAAAGAAGAAAAGTAGGGGAGGGAAAGGCACAGAGACAGAGTCTCAGCTCTGGTTGTGGGGTGGTGGTGCTGCCCAGTGACAGAGAGGTCTTTGATGTCCACAGTCCCGAAGTAGGGCAGATCTCCTCACATTAAGTTACACAGTAACAGCCACACATGTGTCCCTCTTGGTGCTGGGTTTCAGCCTTGCTCACCCCCACTCTCATGCCTGTTTCTGTATTTCTAGTTCAGTTAATCTTTTTACACACCCGAAGGAAGTCTGGATCCATTTGCAAACTCAGGGACCACCAGATGCTTCCCAAATTCAGGGGCCAAAACAGATTCCCTTGCATGCCAAGGTCATCTCTGAGTGTCAGGTCTGCAATCCAGGAAATCAAAGGTAATGGTGAAAAGTTCTTCGAGTGCCTGCAACTGTAAAAGATAAAAGAAAAACATTTATTTAGAGAATGAAGTCCTGATGCATTGAGCTTTTAACTTGAAAAATAAAAATGAACATTAAAAATATACACGTATTTCTGTTAGATAAAATGGAGTAGCAAATTACACACACACACACACACACGCACACACACACACCCACAATTTAATGCTGTACAAAAGGCTCCAGACTAAAAACCATATGACTGAACTTAAATTTTTTTAAAGAATATTTCAGAACTGTCCAATTTTATACTGCAAGAAGAAATATAAAAAAAGAGAACAGATATGCTTTTTAAAAGCTCCCCCCCACACCCCCATTAGTGTTGCTCTGTCTCGAGGGGCATGGATTCCAGGGTGTACCTTTGTCCCAGATCTGGATGTGCAGGGTCTTCTGTCCCTCCTTATTTCCCCAAGACCCCGAGACTAGCTCATGTCTCTGAGTGACTTTTTTTGCCAGAGACCTGACATTTTATTTCAGTTTTAGTCATTTTCTTAATGTCACTCCTACTGGTAAAAGATATCTTCTTTCCTAAAATGACAAGAGGCACACATTCCCTGAAATACAGACACTCCCACGTGTAATAGGTGCAGATGTACACTCACACAGGCACACGAGCACACTGGCTCACTCACTGGCATGCACACTTGTATACACAGACACGTGCAAACGCAGGGTGGGAAGTCCTGAGGTTTCCCTCAGTGATAGGCGCCCTGTCTCGCTTTCTTTGCTTCCTTGATTGCTCCGTCCTAGTTTACACGCAGAAACAGAAAAGGAGGCCTTCCTAGCTAGCGCGCGCTGGCCAGGCCGTCAATTCTAAGGCTGAGATTCTGCGCCACCAGCTTGAGACTTGCCTCCCTCTCAGGCCCAGGAGAGGTTCCTTGCTGCCTTTTTTCTAGGCCCCAAGGTCAGGGTGAACTGCAGCCTATGACCCACTGTGTGGAGGGGTCTCGTAGGAGGTGACAGGTACTGCCGGGTCGGGAGCCTGAGCCCGATTCCTCCTAAGTTCAAGGAGGCAAGTGGCGGCGCGGCCCTATCGATAAGGTTCCCGAAGACCAGCTTGGCTCAGAGCATTCAGGGAGCTAGACCCCGGTCCTGCCCTTCCTCCCGGTCCTCGCACACTTATTTCTAAGGGCTCGGACGTCGTGGTCGTGGGTAAAACCGGCTTTTCAGCGTTTTTCTTATGGGGACTCAAGTATCCGGGAGTCTGCGAGTTCTAAGGTATGCACGACTAGCTGACAGGGATAAAGGCGGAAGAAATGGCAAAAGAAAAGAAGAGGGCTTGGGGTGGAGCGATCCAGGAGCTCTCTGCAGGTCTGCTCAAAATTTCGAAATCAGCTTGAACTCCGGGCACAGAAAGGAACAAGATCTCCAGTACGGAGCAGGCTTCATCTGGAAATCGCATTTGTCCCCAGCTCTTTTTCCGGAACCAGTCGCTCCCTCTGTCCCGGCTGTCCTCCCTACTTAGGGGAAAAGGCTCTAATGGAATCCACCCCAAGCCGAAGTGATTCCATGGGTTCGAGTCTTCAGGGGAACTTGGAAAAGAAACCGGTCTCTCCTCCTCCGGGTCTCCGAGAGCAGGAGTCTGGGGCTGGGGTGCTCTGTCCGTGCAGGCAGTTTAAGTGGTCTTCAGCGAGCATCACCGGCCCTTGCTGGGGGAGCTTCAGGTACAACCTCCCGCCTCTCCTCCGCCTGTCACATCAACATACCACCGCCCCCTCCCCGGGCTCCCCCTGCACCCCCAATTTTTGCAGTTTATGTCTCCGCTTCCGCCAGTGCCAAACTTCAGAAACAGGATTTGCACATTTTTTTTTAAAGAGGTAATGTCTGCCCAGACACTCTTGAACTTGTATCTCCCAATTGCTCCAGAACAGGGAAAATCTTTCTTTTGCGAATGCAAAACAACTCTTTCCAGCCAAACGCGTTTCTCCAGCATTTAAAAGAGGCCTCCTCCGCAGGGCTATTCCTAGTTATTTAGGGTCCTGAGGCGGCGGCCCTGCGGGGCGGCCAGCACGTGCCTCCGGGCACCGCCTGCTAGGTTCCCACTGGTCTGGTGCTGTCCAGGCTTGAAAGAACTGAGAGTTTCCCGAGCTAGGGAAAAACACTGGTCGCCGTGGCCAAGCTACTTCCAGAAACACTCTACTGAAAGCTTATAGATAAGGCAGAAGAAACAAACGGGCAGCAAGAAATTGCAAAAATTGAACAATGGAGAAAATCAAAGAAAACCAATAATTTGTCATGTATGTTATACCAAAGACTAAGAGAAATATGAGCATGAATTTTATTCAATTTACTAATTTTCTATTTTATTTACTCTAAACCACTTTGTTAATTCTAACAAAAATTGAGTTGAAAGTATAACTCAAGTTTAGTTGCTGTTTCATTTTGAATATGCAGAAACAGATTAACTCTACCTGAGAAAAAGTGGTAAATTGTTAGATTAGAAGGAATACGAAGTTATTTTGAATCACAGAGAAAATTTTAAAACTACAATTGTGTCTCAGAACTGTATTTTGAAAAGTTTTAAGACGTTATAGAGACAAACCTGTATCATCGACGACATACAGAATTAAAATACCGTGACCTACGTGTTAAATCTCCAGAAAGGGCGAGCTTTTCCTGGCAAGCAAATAGGAGGGACTGAGCAATAATGTAATGTTTTGTTCCTAAATACAAAAGATTTAAATATTTTTAAAGCCGTCTACTCTAAGAAAAATTCACTGAATAAAATTTACATTTAGTGCCGCGCTCCACGTAGAATGGGCGCTACTAAACGCGGGAATGTTTAAATGAGAAATGACCTAGGTGGATGCCTAGGATGGATGACTTTTGAATGCTCTCAATCTTCCAAAACGTTCTGAGCTTGTAGCAACATTAAATAATAAGGACGTGGAACAGGGATTTAAGGTTCCTTGAAAGATTCTTCATGTGCTAACTTGGAGAGTTTCTCTGTTTAAAGCCAGGAGCCTCTGCCTTTCCAGATTCTGGTGAGAAAAGCTGGGAGACTCGAGGGCTGGACTGGGTTTAGGAGCAAGACTCACAGAATTCAGCAAGCATGGGCTGGCATATCCAAGCCAGATGGCGGCGCTTTTCACTCCGAGTTTTTTGAGACCTTGTAAGGAAGTGGGCGCGAGTTGCGCAGAATTGGCGCCGTCTGATTGGCCATCCGTCACTGTGATTGACAGACTACTGGGCTCCGCCCCTCGCCGCTTTATTGACGCCAAAGAGCAAGTTCTTCCCACCACTCTCCTGCCTGGAAGTGCTGACAGATCAAGGCAACAAATTTCAATTACAATCCCTAATTTGTGTCCGCAGAGTGTTTTTTTACCCATGTTAGTCCTCTCAGGCGCATCAGTCGAGGCAGATTTTAGAGCAGCAGGAGGAGGTGGAGGGGGTGGGAACGAAGGAGTACATCAGTGAGAGAGAGAGAGAGAGAGAGAGAGAGAGAGAGAGACCGAGGGAAAGAAACTTGGCGGTCGGCTCGTCGCCGGTTCCTCCGAACCCAACCCAAGCGAGAGAGGAAACGCCAAATTTGTTTTTTGCCCTCTGCAGGGAAGCGGGGAGATCTGGCACTGAGAACTATTCAGTTTTGGGGTAGGGCTTCCAAGGAAAGCGAGTGCGTGCGTGTGCCCGCGTGAGTGTATATGAGAGAGGGGTGGGCGGGCGCCGGGCGGCGGGGATGGCCGAGAAGCGGAGGGGCTCGCCGTGCAGCATGCTCAGCCTCAAGGCGCACGCCTTCTCCGTGGAGGCGCTGATCGGCGCCGAGAAGCAGCAACAGCTTCAAAAGAAGCGGAGAAAGCTGGGCGCCGAAGAGGCGGCCGGGGCCGCGGACGACGGAGGCTGCAGCCGGGGCGGCGGGGCAGAAAAGGGCTCCTCGGAGGGAGACGAAGGCTCTGCGCACCCGCCGCCAGCGCGGAGCTGCGCAGACTTGGAGCGCAGCTGTGGCTCCCGAGGAGCCGCGGGTGAGTTGGTCCCTTCCTGCCCAGCGTCTTCCTCGCGTGTCCCCTCCCAAGTCAGTCCCACCGGCCCGCCCGCCCGCCGCGAACCTGAACTTCTGCGAGTCTAGGCTTGAGTGCGCGCGGTGGCCTAAAAGCAGCGAGGCAAAGCAGCCGCGAGTGCCTTGGCCTTCCGCGTCACTGCGAGCCGAGGTCACGGCCCACACGGTCACGGCAAGCTGCTGCCACCCACTCAGCGCCCTTCGGTAGTTTGTGGAGCCGAGCGGCGCGGATCTGTGCATTTCGCATCTGCCTCCCTTGGGGTTCCAGCCAATGGGTGCTCCTTTTTCTTTCTCAACTTTTAAAAGCCTAAGATGGTGTGTGGGGGGGAGGTAGAATGAAGGCATAACACCCCCCCCACCCCAACCGGAACGAATGCCCTAAGTCGTTGGTGCAAACCAGGAAGAGGGCAGCGTACTTGCAAACGTGGTTTCCCGGGGGTTAGCGGAGCGGTTCCCGTCCCTTCCCCACTGATTCCCCGGGCCAAGGCGAAGGCGGCCGCGGGCTGGCTTTTAGCGCTCGCCTCGCTTCTGCGCTGGTGGGCTTGACGCGTGGCGCAGAGGAGTCTGCAGAGGAGTCCAGAAGTTGCTTCAGCCCTGGCTCGAAGCGAGGCGCCCCTGAGTTCTGTAGGGCCGAGGGCCCGGGGCTCGAGGGCTGCCTGTGCTTCGGGGCGCAGTAGTGACGGGGTCTGAACTGAGGACTCTGCACTCGGGAACTTGGCTCGGAGGAGTCCATCCTACTTAAGCTGCTGGACCCCCTGGGCAGAGCGAAGCTGTCAGGGTCCTGGACCCCGCAGAGGCCCAGCGGGTGGACTGACGCGGCCTGTGGGCCGCCCCTGGGCGCGGGACTTGGGGGCCCGGCAGACCTTTCCGGAGCGCCTGTTCATCTCAAGGACCCGAAGACACCAGAGCGTCCCCGTTGTTCAGTCCTTTCCTCCTTGGCTGGCCGCCTGCCTCCCCTCGGAAGCCCTCACCGTGTCCCCTCTCTGCCTTTTGCTGTCCAGGCAGTTGTGAGGATGGCTTCCAGCAGGATGCTTCCCCACTGGAGTCCCCCGGAGGTTCCCCGAAGGAGTCCCCGGCGCCCGCATCGGCCGGGCCCGAGACCCCGCTGACCTCGCCGCAGGCGCCAAGGGTGGATCTGCAAGGAACCGAGCTCTGGAAGCGCTTTCATGAAATCGGCACCGAGATGATCATCACCAAGGCGGGCAGGTAAGGGGCAAGCTGACGCGGAACCTCCTGGGCCGGCTCCGGCTTCACCCTGCCCTGGACGGTTTGGGAGAAGGCTCTGGCAGCATGCGGAACACTTTCTGACAGACCTGACACCGCTGGGGTCTTGCCTCACTTCTAGGCTGGCTTTGCCTCAGTGTGCCACCGAGCAGTAGGTGACAGCCAGCCTCCCCCTTGTTGATACTGGGAGAAATCGCTGTGGTCACGAATGCCATCGTCCTCAAAGTTGATGTTCCCTGTGGAGAGCATTTATGGATTCAAGGTCATATTTACGTCAGTGCAGCCATTTATTTAGACTATAGTTATTAGTTCTGGAACCAGAGAACATTACCCTCCCCCTTTTTTCTTCTTAAAACAGTTTATTCCATAGCAAACTATGGTTTACTTTTTCAGAAATAAACTTTCCAGGTTGGTTCTTTTATCAGAAGATTTCTTGGCACTGTAAGAACATGATCTGTTGTATGATTCTGAAATTAGACTAGGATGAAAACACATTATAATCTTTCATAATATATGTTTAATTATATGTAGCTGTAAAAATAATTATCCTGAATTTAAAAAATCCTGTTTGCAGATCAAGTTGCATGGCTAAATATTTTTCCTAAATGAAATTCTAACACATTAGCTGAAATTTGCTGAAGAATGCTAAAAATAAATGTAAGAAGTAATCTTTATTTTAAAGTATGGAATTTGCACAACCAGTTAGTAAAATAAATGAATTTGTTGGTAGATCATATTAACTTGAGGTAGGCACACAGACATTTGCACTTTCAAATTTTCAGTTCATTCAGTGCAATAAACTCTATAAATAATATCCTTAAGAGAAACTTTAAAAAACACACAAGACTCTTTCAGGGAGTACACATGGCAAAAACCTGGATAGTATAAAAGTATCCAAACTTATTAGAAATTACAAAAACATACTTTATTGAATCCATATGCTGCCTTCTGCATTTTCTTAGGGCTTTTATTAATGATCCAAATTCGGTTTTTCAACAACACAAAGCAACAGTTGTCTTATAAAGGATATAGTTAAAGACCTTTACTCTTTATCTTACAGGTGCACTGAAATAACACTAAGCAGCAAGTGCTGTATTAAAACTGTTCCCATGCTTAGTTAGAAATAATGGACTTTCTCAGTCCTCTGGAAGTGTTCTTTAACAGCATTAAAGTAATAGAAAAAATTGGTAAATAACAGTACTGAAGTTCATGCTATAAAGTTAAATTAGGAAAAATTAGATTAACTGGCACAGTCCTGGACATAAATCAAAGATTTTTTTTTACAAAAAGAACAAATGTCTACATTTATTTCTTATACATAATCACTCCCTACTGCGTTCCTTGCTGCTGTGCACAATTTAGAGGATAGGTGCATCTACTTTAGCATCTCCTTTACTATATCTCTTCTAAGCTCAGAGAAGTGGAGATTTTCACAGTTTTAATTAGCAAAGATTTGAGTAAGTGTGGTTTAGGAAGAAAACATTTTTGCAGTATAATGGAGAAAAAAATGATTTGGTAAATTTACATTGTGTTTAGTTTCTGCATTCAGAAAAGAAGTTTTATTCTACCTTTCAAATTTAGAGCAACTTTTGCACTTCATCTTTACCATGCTGCAGACAGGAAGTCATGTCTCAATAAAGAATATATTGTTTGGTTATAGCATGGCACATTGGCTCCTTGTGGTTTTTTTATAACCCTCTTAAAATTTCACATTATGCTTTATCACTTTCAAAAATTTGAAATTTCTATTTCTACCACTTGTTCTATTTTATTATTTGTGTTATTAAAAGTAAATATATGTATTGATTTTGTTTCAAAAGTAAAAGTGCTTTCTTTAGTGCCATTACTCCCTCAGTAGACAATTCTTTTGTTTTTAGCTATACTGACAATTTGATAAACATGTTACATATATACATAGAGTACAATAAGTTACATTTTAAAACTTTGGTTTGGATATGTTCTATGTTCTAACACTTTACCAGACTTAATGCTATAAATTTGATCATATTGAAAACAGATTAGAGAAGTTTATTCATTTTCAGTTCTTATGAGAAACAAAAAACCCAAATGCTCTTTCTCCTCTCCTTCATAAATAGGCGCATGTTTCCTGCAATGAGAGTGAAGATCTCTGGATTAGATCCTCACCAACAATACTACATTGCCATGGATATTGTACCAGTGGACAACAAAAGATACAGGTATAAGGATTGGATACAGGATTTAAGAAGGCACTAGGATTTTGTCAGGAGTGGCCATTTGATCTGTGACTGCTGTGATCTTTGTTTCCAGAAGCCTATAGAATTTCCAGATCCATGTGGAAACAGAATGTAAAATGTGGAAACAGAATTTCTGTTTGGCTTTTAATAGAAACAAAAATGTCTTCAACCATTGAATACCTAATAGGGTTCAATTTAGTATTGCTAAACTAAATGTATCTTTCATATAGATTCATATATCAATGAGAATTTTCAGAGGATTTTATACGCAGTTTGTAGATACACATAATGGTAAATGAAATGTTATGTTTTCTTTATTTTTTTGATCTTTACGTTAACTTCTTTGTCTTATTACATTCAAAATCATAAATATTTGTTGACTTTTTCCTTTTGAGAAAATTATCTAAAGTTTTTCACAAGTAAAATAAATAAAATCTCACAATTCATTCTGATATTATGACATCTCCAAACTGGCAATGAATTGTTAATTTTTGGTAATTTTTTGGTAGTTAGCAATTATTGTTTAAAGTCTTCATTACGTTTGGATTATAAAAGAGAATATATTTACCTAGATAGCAAGTAATTTTTGAAAAGATAAATATTCTTTGGTTTCAAGTCAACCTTCACTCTTTTTTTTTTTCTGGAAGAAAGCAAATCAAAAATTTTTAGTGACAATGTTTCTTATTTTTCTGAAGAATTAGAAATATTAGCATTTTAAAAAGAAAGTTTTGAATGTCTGGAAGATTAGAAGACAGATTCTGTTTTAAATTTGTCTTATCTTTTAAAAATAATTACAGTACCTAATAGTTTTTAAAGGAAATCGAATTTGGTTTTTATCACTGTAAAAATGTAGGGAGTTTTTGCAAAACAGGTTTATGGTGTCAAACATACACAGATTTTAATTTAAACAAGGACATGAAATACTACAAAATGAATGATAGAAAGGAACTTTTATTTGTGTTTTGTGCATAAGTTTTATTACTTATTTTAAATGAGGACATTTTGCTAAAATCATCTGCTGCATAACAGAAGCTAGAAGACATACAAGTTCATTCTTTAAATATACTTGATTCAAAACCCATATTCTAATTTGAGTTTTGTGTGAGGAAAATAGTGAGAAATCATCATTTTTCTTCTGTTTGTGTCCTAATTCTTCCTCATAACTCTTCCATATATTTTTGATGTTTTATTTAACAAATGATTCTTATTTACTCTCACAGAAAGCAGGAAACTTCTCATAATAGTATTAAAATGCTAAATTTTTAAAAGATCAAACTGTTAACATAAATTTGCTTTCATTTACATTGCTTAGTACAAAGAAATTTGTTTTTAGTGTTGTATTTAGAATGTTTTACAAAGAATGTGTAACATGTAGCATTTATTTGCTTAGTGCATGTGGAGTTTGGAACTATTTAATATGCATAATTTTCAAGGTTTTGATAGAGCATATAACTGTTTAATTTGGCAGGAACCCAAATCATAGCTACAGTGAAGTGTTTTTTCTTGAATTGCTAAGATTTTCATTTTATTTTCCAACTTTTTCAGTAGTATTAGAAAAAAATTTAGTTTACTTTGTGATGTCAGGGTGATATTTGGTTGAATTAAAAATGATTACTACTTATTAGAATGTAAAATTAGTAATCACAAGAGTCTGCAGTTAGGAATTCATTTATTAAAATTACACTATACTATTTGAAGGAAGGGTGTAAGAATTACTCTTAATTTTGTACTTATGTAGTTTTTTCCAAGGAAAGGAATTACTGTAAACAATAGAAGCATATTGAGCTCAAAAGAGAATGAAATATGTGACCCTCAAACCGCATCAGAGATGTTATGAAAATATTTTATGCTCCTTTATTTTTAAAAAGCTTTTACTAGTATATGCTTTTGATACATAATAAGTACATTCAGTCTGGGGAATTGGTATATATATATATATGTGTATCTTCATCCTTTTTACTTCTGTTTCTCCTCCCTACCTTCCCATCTTCTCTTCTAAAAAGAAATTTACATATTATACAGGTCGAATTTTCTGACACTATTTGCAAACTTACTATAAATTGTATGACATATTTTAATACATATGGAACAAAAACATCTAAGACTATATAATTTATTTTATACTCTTTTCACTCTAATTTCTAGTTTTTAATTAGTTTATTTTAAAGTGACAATAAATGATACTCTGATTATAGGATAATACATAGAGATTTTATTTCTTGAGATATTGTCACTCAATGTATTGTTCTCTCTGAATCAATATATTTGCACAAATATATAAATAAGCGTATTTTATTTCTTAATTAGAAAAGTGATATTAATTAGATAAGGCATTTTTAAAGTGTAATTTGTATCTTCATTAGTGGCATTTGAAAACTATTTGGTATGAGAAATATTGGAGATAAAAATTTTATATTAAACTGAATACTTTATCTTCACCTTATAGTATCATAGCATTAGAAAAATACAATTCTAAATGATAATAGATAGAATTTTTTTCCTCTCAAAATATGACAGTTTTTCTCACCTTCATACTGTCTGTCTCATCAGCCTGTATGTAGCCTAAAATGCAAAGTGATCTTTAAGGAAGTGGGACATTTTAAGATATAACTTTCAAGTATTTTGAGTCTTACTTAAAGGCAAGTTTGGCAACTTCATGTCAATTGAATATTCAGGTGAAAAATATCAGTCTAGAGTAAGCGTGCCTAATGTGAATAAATGGTTAGAATTAAGGTACAGCATTTGCATTTGTAGTTGTGATAGTGTGCATATTTTTCACTAAACCCTTCATATCCTACTTACTCTGAGTTGTCAGTAGACCCCCACTATGTCAGAAAGTTTTTGAAAAATGCTTGAAGACTTAATTTGGGTATAAAGAAGAAGTAAATTTATTTTAGACTTTAAAAAGAGTACACATTTGGTCTTGATTCTGCTGAACTGGAAATACCAAGAAAAAGTAGTCCAGATCCTGAGGGCATTTCTTGTCTTTGCCTTCTAGGTATGTTTATCACAGCTCCAAATGGATGGTGGCAGGTAATGCTGACTCCCCTGTGCCACCCCGGGTGTATATTCATCCAGACTCACCTGCCTCTGGGGAGACTTGGATGAGACAAGTGATCAGTTTCGACAAGCTGAAGCTCACCAACAATGAATTGGATGACCAAGGCCATGTGAGTAGATGGCCACCATTGGATGTCACAGCCATATCTATCCTATGTCTGACTGAAGGAAATAGATATTTCCAAGACACTGCTTTCCTGGTTGATCAGCATGTGCATAATCTGATTACATTTGTGTCAGGTTATATTTTTGTCAGAGACCATGCTTATGGCTGAAGTATCCTATGAGGCATTTAATGTACTAAAACTATATATTGTGTTTGTATTGGAATGAAAGAATCCAAGGTAAACTTTTCTTTAGCCAAAACACTTGTGTGAATTTGGATAAGCAGGGATAATGATTTATTGTGTCCTCCTTGCATCAAACTCTTTTCTGGGCTCAGTGAGTTGGGGCTCATTGTTTATCAGAGTCAGTCCAGGTTTATATGGTTCATGTGTTCCATCTGCACACTCCCAGTTGCTTTAAAGGAAAATCTAATGTGTCAAAAATGTTACAATAATTCTTTTTATTTTTAAAACTGCTGAACCATGATAGGAAGTCAGAGTTCAGCCATTCCGATAATACAGCCATTTTAACACCTTATTAATTTTTGTACCACATTGTTGTTAGGGAAGATGTCTACCTTATTATATTAGTAAATTAGTAAGTCTGGATACATGCTGATTTCTGTTTAAAATTAGCATTTCTATTAGGTTTCTGTTATTTCAGAGGGTTTTGCTTGAAGCAGAACTGAAATGTTTTTTGAAGAATATATCATACATAAAACCTACTCAAAACCTTTCTCAAAGCAGTAACATAAAGAAAGTATATTTACGAGCAAATCTTTTTAAAACAAGAATACAAACTGACATGGGCTGGTAATAAAGTGATAACAGGTTGTGATTTTCAAGTTGCCAGCCAGTGCATAAGCACTTTACCTTCATGAAGACCTTTTAGCACTAATTTCAGAGTTGTACAAATATAGTGTCTAGATTTTTAAGACATATTTAGTAAATCCTCACATCAATAATGATTTTGTTTATTGTTGCCTCTTATAATAAGACACAATCAGAAAAATAGACTTTATGAATCCAGTTTCATGCCCTATATTTTAGTATGTTACTTTATTTCCTTTCTTTTTATTTTCTATGTTTACTTTTACAAGTTAACATTGTTTGTAAAAATTATTTTTCCTTGATTTCAGTGAAATAACTTTGGTTTCTTCTGTCTCATTGAGGGAATTTTCTGTGAATGCTGGCAGCATGTTCACTGAGGTTTTTTTTTTTCTTTCAGATAGGAAAAAAATACCATTAGACTAAAGACCATTTTCTAATACTTGTTTTCAGAATCTAAAAAACTTAAAGTACACTACCCTTTTCTGAGTTCTACAGTTTAAGAATACCTGTTTTAAAGAGGTAATTGGACCCAAAATCTATACACTATCATTGATAAAGTACAAAGTTTTAAATAATTTAAATCAATATAATCATTTCACCATTCTTTCAGTTCAAATGAATGAAATCTTTGTATCTAATAGTTTCTAATCCCTAGCATATCTAATACTAGATACAGATTTAGCAATTTATCTATATGATTTTGTTTATAATTTCAATAGACTTTATTTAAAACATCATTCTTTAGAAAATAGAATATCTATGTGTGTGTATGTATATATGTATATAAAATACATTGATATATATAATGAACTTAATTCTTTCCATGATTTTGGTCACAAACCAAATTGGACAAGAACCAAATCAAATTCGATGGTTAGGTTTAGTATTCACCTTATGGGGAAATTTGATTTGGTTCTCATCCAATTTGGTTTGCCCCCAGAATCATGGAAAGATTTAAGTTTATATATATTGATAAGTTTATACATATCAATATCTATATATATCTATATCTATATATCTCAATATATATAGAAACATTTAGATTATCATTTTCCTGAAAAATGAGAAGACAGGTAATGATGCACCTTAAACCTCCCAGTGCTGGTATACTTTGGAAGGGAGTACATTAGTCAGGAGCCTGGAGGAGAGCCTGTACTCACAGCTGCTGAGACCTAGAGGATTCAATACCCTAATTCTCTCTGTTTCTCCTTGAGAACTATGTAGGTGGGGAAGCAGGATGTTACAGGAGAGATTGAAAAGGTTTCTGTAGTGGGAGGAATTTACAGTGGCTTAGAGGTAAGACACATTGGTGATCCTGGGCGAGTTGTTTCCACTCTTAGAAGTTTGTTTTTCTCACGGGCTATATTAAAATCAGAGAACTTTGAGTGAACCGATGAACTTGAAAGCATATATTTATAAGAAGTGCTTCATATGCAGCATCACATATAAAACAAAAATAAGACTGTCTTGCTACAGAGATTGTGATTTGCTGTTACAGCATTGACCTCTACCATTTAAAGTGAGTGGGTACCAACTATCACCAACTGCAGAGAGCCAGATTTTTATCATCTGTTCTTCTTGATCTTTTGCTCTGCTTATTCCAGCATAAGAATTTAAGTCATCTGGAAAATTTGCAGTCAGCAAGGAGTTTCCGTATTGAGCTGTTCTGTAAGACTGGATGCAGCTGCCTGTCTGTCAAATTTCAGGCACTTTCAACCCATCAGATCCAAAATACAAAAGATTATGCTTCTTTTGACTCAAATCTAGTCTTTAAAGTAGAAACACATGTATTAGACTCTACATGGGAAAGTACTCTGTGTTTATGGACATAGGTCTGTGTGACTGTGCTAGTGGGTAATGCCATTAAGAACTCTGTCTAAATAGAAATAGAAAGCATAGAACAGGCACATCAGATATAATTATTTGAGTTTTGGTGATGAGCATTATTATTGTGGTGTTCCTATAAGGGCAGTGGTTTTCCTGGTTGGGCTTGTTCTATTAAATAAGCAAAATATTGACTACTCATCATGACAGTTCTTTAAAAATCAAATTTTGGGGCCACGAATGTAGCTCAGTGGTGCCACTCCTGCCTAGCAAGCACAAGGTCCTGAGTTTGATCCCCGGTACCAAAAAAAAAAAAAAAAATGAAATTGTGCTATCTTATAAAGAACAACTGGCACTTGTTTGGCATGCCTTAAAATTTTCCAGGGATACAGTAAATTCCTATAGACGATGTTGAACATATATTATTTGGTTTGAATAATCTTCAGATTACTATTGGCATTTGGTACTTAACATGCAAACAGGCACACAACAGTCATTTCTGTACCTATTTCAAAATATCTCAACTTTTGTGCTCGCTTTGGCAGCACATATACTAAAATATCTCAACTTTTTTTGACTGTGAAAGGGTATAAAAAATTAAAATCAAAATGTATATAACTATGTGGAGAAATCTCCTTGAGAGAAGAGGTTCTTCATAAAACAAGAATCTTTTCTGCATGACTGATAGACAGAAATTCCAAATAAATTTGTGTTTCTTTCACTGAAGTCTGTCTATTCTAACCTTTTAAAATGGGTATGCACTTATTTTTGCTTGTTTGATGTAAGCAATTTTTCTTTAGTTGTTCTTACGCTCTGGTATTTGCTTCTGAAACTTATGTTAATTTTCTCTGGGAGTTTAAAAATTCTGTTTTCTTACCACTAGCATTTTGTTTTTTAGCTTGGAAAAGAGAGGAAGAGTTTTCCCTCAAATTCTCCTACTCCCCAAAATATCAAGTGTATCTATTTCTTAAAGAGAAAAATTAATTAGGAAATAAAGAAAGAAAGGAAAAAACAGTTTAAAATTAACAAATAACATAAAATTGGTCTTTGGCTGTTTTATGTTCACATTTACAAGAATGGTAAGGTAGAAAGTTATTATTATAATAATAAATAATTCTGGAAAAGGACTGGGACAATTTATATCATAAACTTTCAGCCAGTGACTGAGACATCATTTGGGGCTTATTAATTGATTAATCTGCCTCTTCAGGCTGAGAACCATCTTTGTGTTTATTTTGTTGGGCCTAGCCCAATGACTATCCCTGCCTATACAATGTAAATTTATAATGAATACACATAAACATGGTGTACAGAAAATGAGTCATGGGCCAAAGCAGCTGATTTCCAAGTCCAGCAGTGAAGATTCAGAAGTTTGTTGCTGTAGACCTTAGCTGCTTCATCTTTAAGTTAGGGCACTAATGTTGGTATTTTCAGATTTAGAAATGTCATATGGAGCACTGCATATCAAATAGGAAAGGAGCACACTTAAATTGAGGGCAGAGAACAGACCTCAGTTTCCCTCTTTCCTAATCCCCTCCCTTAACATAGTTCTGAGAAGAATACTAACTGGAAGATACTTTTGAACCCCACTGAGATATTGGGGCTTCTAAAGATATAAACTTAGATTTCCATTATATCTTTTTAAATGAAGATTTGCAGACATAATCAGTTAGGAATTATTTACTGATGAAATGAGAAAAAAATCTATATTCACTGAAAATCTTTTGAGGATATATTGATAGAATCATTAGAATTAAATGTTGCTCTGTTTTTCAAGTTTTTGACCTGACTTATAGCAAGAAATACTCTACATATAATGTACACACAAGTAACAGAAAATATTTTGCAAAAATAGTATTTATTATCATCCTTACTACAAGCAGCTCACTCTAGTTTCTACTTTATTTTAACAATTTTATTTATTTTTAAAATGTCTGGTTGCAACCCTTTGAATTGATTTCATGAGCCACTAATGGATCATTGAAATTCTGCCCTTCTCTTACACCTGGAAAAACAGTTTCCTGAGGGTTCAGATTCGTGCATGTGTCCAGAGGTGATGATGAAGGCTGTTGGCCCCTCTTGCCTCTCCCAAGGAGCTTGTATCATCAGCAAGATCACAGCAAAATTATTAGATCTGCTATCCAGGCATTTCTTCCACTGATAGAAAACTTTAGGGTAAACAAAACAAAACAACCTGACTGCTGCATCAGTTACTACCAGAAGGTAAAAGCATCCTTTTGTGCCAATGAGTGCACTCTCCAGGTGCAAGACTGTATGTGTTTGAGCTGACCAAGGACTCTGAACTTGGCTTATTAAACTGCCTACATCATGAAAGACATGAGGCAAGTCACCTACTGTGTTTCCCATGACTTCTGTTTAAAGATTTCCTCTCCAAATTCCTAAATTCAGATCTTACAGTTTAGGAAAGATAGGATTTTTTTTTACTAAAATCATTTATTAGTATCTGAATATAAAATTCAAGAGCAAATAGAAAATCCCACTGAATGATGCTCACCCTTAATGGCATAAAATATGTAAAGAAGGAGAAAAAGTTCTTCCACAATTCCATCATCCAGAGATCACACTGTACATAGCTTTGTATGGATCCCTTTTACTCTATTTTAATGTAGTTTTGGTAAGTTCATAAACAATTTGGGTCCTATTTTGTCACTTCAAGAGTAAAACTTTCCTAAATAGTATTAGTAACAACTGAATACTACTGGATTCCATGGTGTGGATTTTCATTTACTTAATTACTCTACTCATATTGTGCATGTAAGTGATTTATAGTTCTTCCATGAACATCTTTGTACATGAAAAGCTTTTCTGAATTTGGAATACTTCCTCAAGATAAATTCTCAGTGAAATAATTGAGTAGAAGGTGGTTAGCCATATTACAGAATACTCAGCAGAGTCTGTGAAGGCCAGTGTTCCATTCTCTGTAGTATGAGTTTTTAAGAAGACTTGTTGTGATGGAGGCACCAACACTTGGCTCTCCTGGCAATCAGAGACTTTGTGAACCACAAACCTAATCCTAGGGACCCTTAAAATTCCCCTTGCTCCTAGGCAGACATGTTTAGTCAGTGATGAAGAAATAATTCCCACTTAAAAAGAATCTTGAGGGCAAATACTTATATTTAAAGACTACATTTTATGCAATTTAAATAATAATTTTAATTTCATTTTTAGTTTTACTAGTTTGGACTCTAGTTTCATCTATTCACATGAATTTATTCTTATATTTTAAACAATAGAAAAGTTTGACTTTGGGCTGCCATGGTTGTACCCAGAGTTTCACTTGAGTAAACATTTTTGCTTTATATTTTTATATAAATTTTACAAATAACTTCCTAGCCCCTTCTCTCTAATTGTGATGTATTTTATTAAATTGGTGCTTGTGTATCCTTGGAAATGTTAATTCCCAGCAGCAGGAATTTATTTTACATATTAAATATTTCGTCATAGTACCAAGATTGGGCAGAGGTTCCTGATTAAATGTGGATTTTCTTTTCTCAAAACAGATTATTCTTCATTCCATGCACAAATACCAGCCACGAGTGCATGTCATCCGTAAAGACTGTGGAGATGATCTTTCTCCCATCAAGCCTGTCCCATCTGGGGAGGGGGTGAAGGCATTCTCCTTTCTGGAAACTGTCTTCACAACTGTTACTGCCTATCAGAATCAGCAGGTATTGTTCTCAGCTAATTTTTAAAAGACATTCTAGTGGTAAATAGAAAGCTGGCTATTCTTATTCCTGTATTAATAGCATGTGTGTGGGTGTTTGTGAATGTACAAAATAACAGTTCTTTAACCATGATTCTCCAAGTAAGGCTACTCTAATAAGAATCTCTTCAGTCAAGAGGAGACAGGCATGTAAAATATAAAAAGGGAATTGTATCATAGATCTTGGGATTGATTTTAAAACTAGCTCATGAAACTATTTCAGAATCACTTTTACTGTACAGACACTTTTTGTATTCCAAAAATGGCTTTTTGTTTCAAGCCATGCTTTAATTGTGATACAGAATAGTGTGTACTTTATAGTCCGAGAGACTAGCAATTGTGAAGTAATTATTTCATAAAGTTGGAAATAATTTGCGAAGTTAATTTTTCTATGTGAATAAACATATATATTTGTTTAAGTCTGTGTATACATGAGTCAAATAAATACAGAACAGAATGCAATCTTAGCCAGTTTTCATAAGAAAGCTATGTAATGGAGGCTAATATGGTATGTGGTACATTTTTTTTTAAGTTTCAGTGGTTAGCCGAATTGTTTTAGGCACCCATTTCTGTTTACATCTCAGTTAAAAATTTAAGGCTTTTTACTTTCTTGGCTGTGCTGTCTGATATGTTAAAGCTTTTTAGGAGACACGGACTCTTCTATGTGCTCTCCTTTTGCACTGAGAGGCCCAGTGTTCTCATCGTGTGGAGACCTCAGTTTCACAGTGGAAGCAGGCCTGTGTCCTACACTCATGCTGCCACTCTGTCATATAGGCGTGTAGGAAGGGTTGTGGGCTCTAACCTTTAGAAGGTCTAGAGATAACTAGGATGATATTCTTAAAATACCAGAAAATGAAAATTTTCTGAGAGAAAATCAGTGTATAAAGTGAAAATAGCAGAGGTTTTAGTACAATTTTAACCCTGATTCATTGTCTCTCTGTTCCTCACACACACACAAATTAGCTGTGCTCTATATGCATTTTCTTCTACCCTTTGTGATGTATTAAGTGTAATGCAATGGGCTCCTGGCACATAGTGGGGCTAGCACCCATTTAATAAACATTGATGATTGAATTAAGAGAGTAGAAAAATTAGATAGGAAATTGATAATGATAAAATGCAGAAACACTCACTTTTTAATTTCCCGGCAATCATTTTTAAGAATTCATGGAAAATTGATAAGTAGATTCACCCAGTTGTCAACGATTTGGGCTCTACAACCTAGGTTTCTAACCCATTTCTACTGGCTAACAACCATATTATCTTAGGAAAGTTACTTTTAAAGCCTTATGTTAAAGGAAAAAATGTAAAATTGGAGTAATATGTACACATAATCTTCTATGATAATTAAATGAGTAGTGTGCTTAAAACAGTACAGTATACATAGTCTGCAGTTAATAAATATGGTAATGTTAGTAATAAAAATAATGATAATAGTAATTTTGATATATTTCTATTTAGACAGGCACCATTATATAAATCTATACTCTTAAAAATAATTTTGTGAGCTGGGGATTTAACTCAGTGGTTTCGCCACCTGCTGCACAAGCACAAGGACCTGAGTTCGATCCCTGGTACCAAAAAAAAAAAATTTGTATGTTTATTTAGTATTACTTAAACAGTACTGAAAGGAACAGAGAACTGAATTATAATCTGTAAAGACAAAATTTCCCTTCAATGATAAAATGGCAGACATAGTGAAGTAATTATCAAACCTTTTCATTATAGCCTTTATAATGCAGTTTTATCCACATACCAAGATGATATCACATGGAACACATGTATCTTAAGTGTTGCACCACTGTCTGGAGGATGGCTGAGAGCATGCACAGGTAGTATAGGGAAACTTCAAAGACTTCTTTGCCTTAATGATAGCCAACAAATTTCATCCTTAGTCAAGATGGTGTGATTAGAAATATGTTTATTAACTTTGTGATTTTTATTAAGCCAAGAAATTTAAAAAGCAAAGCATGGTGTACCTCTGAGAAAACTCTGTAAATTCCTCTGAGCGTAGTAGAGATTGGGTAAGAAACAGATGAGATGTTATTTATTAGTGTCAAGTTCAGGATGATTTTTAAGTGGAGATTATTTGGAAACATTTGTAAATTCTACCCTGAGCCCAAATTGGGGTCCCAGTGGGAAAGATGCTGATGATAAGTCAACAAATTTGAACTCCAGCTAAAATTAAAATGCTATTTGTTTCTAATATATATATATATATGTATGTATATATATGGTTTAATCCCATTAGAACCTTCAAAAAGTGGTTACCTCTCTTTAGATACTGTAGTGGTGTGACAAAGTTAGGACTCCCCAGATAAAAGATGAAAGAATAAAACTTTCAGATGAGAGTCATGAAGATTAAAGGATAGACAGAAAAATACACAAGCAGAAAGTTAAAGGAGTGTGGATATTACCCAATTTTGAACATTGTGTTAAGAGCTTAAAATTTAAACATAAAAATAAGCTAATAAGCAGAAGTTGTTGAGTATTACTTGTTCCCCATCACCTCTATTGCAAGAGGAATAGGACTAAACTACATTAGCAAAGTTAAAGGGAGTAACTTCATTTCCAAGAGGATCATCAAACAGAAGACAAATATTGACAGATAATTTATATATTCCTTCTTTAGGAGTATTAAAAGCAAACAAACTTTTGTGTATTGTGGAGATCTGAGCACAGTGGCACACACCTATATCAGCACTCAAGGAGGCTGAGAGGTTTACAAGTTTGAGTCTTGCCTAGTCAATCTTGTCTCAAAATTTAAAAAAAAGAACGAAAGAAAGAAAAGGGACTGGAGATATAGCTCAGTGGTAGAGCACCCCTGGCTGGGCTCTCTTCTAGTACTGCAAAATAAAAAGTAGATAGGTATCTTTTTATAGCAGGTGAATATTCTGTATGGTTTTTGAAATTTTCTTTTAGCAGCTAGGATATTAAAATATTTGGGGAATGGTGAGAAACATGCAATAGTGTCTTCCGTCAGTTAATTTTTGAATCATTTGTACGCCTGTGGTATTTGCTGTACTTAAAAATATTATTTGATCTTTATATAAGATGTGATTTGTTTTCCTACTCTGCAGATTACTCGCCTTAAGATAGACAGGAATCCATTTGCCAAAGGCTTTAGAGACTCCGGACGAAACAGGTAAGTCCTACTGAAAAACCTAGTTGTGATAACTGTATTTGATATCTTATTGTGAGTTTCCCTTACCAACTAAACAGTTGTATATACTGACATTAAATGGAAATAATTTCTGATGAGAATTTAAATTGGTTAATACTTTTGTTCCCTGGACATAAGTTAGTTTTGGAGTGTAACGGTGTGGCCTGCTCTGAGGTGAACTTTCACATATGCTGCTGGGGTGAAGATGGACACACTCAGAGTGCATGTCGAGTGCTGTTTCTGAAGTGGCCTTGAAGAAGCCCTGACATGTTCAGGGGCCTCTGTATTTCAAGTCAGTACCTTCTCTGCCTCTGCTATTGGTTTAGAATTTCCTTAGTGATGACACAACTGTCTATTGATTCTTTTTGGAGAGTCTGCTGAAGTCTCTTGTTAATTCAGATTTCCATCTGGAATATGAAACTACTTCCTGTTTCTAAAAGAGCTAATGTTCTTTACTTTCCAAATTTGTCTTGGCTCTGATGACAGCTACACACTTGTTTATTTTTTTCTGTGTTGTATTTTATGGTGTTTGTACTAAGTGGGAGAGCTACCACAATGAATTCCATTCTATTACTTTTATCAAAAAGCAGATCATCTAGTATGTATGCCAAGAGTTTTTAAATTGATTGATATGTTTCTATTCCAATACAGTTTGGTGAAACATTTTCTAAAATAACTGTTAGTAATAGAGTGTAATAATAGACTAATGTTCTCCAAATGCCTTTTCTGGGTAAGGCTTTGACTTCAATGTTTTTAAAAACATCTTGTTTTTAAAAAGAAGTACTTGAAAAATTTTATTACTTTATTTCTCAGATTATTCTAATACTCCTTGAAAATTTGGTGTTAGTCAAGTGTGTCTGCAAGAAGTCAAAAATTCCCAATTATTTTAGAGGATATTTTATTTGAAATTTTAGAGAGAAAACACAGTTAATAGTCTAGATTTTTAGTTCTTTCAGCTGATTAATTGAACAAGGTTGATGACAGAAATCTTTTCTCAGAATATATTGAATTGGTTACAAAAGCCTGATGTCATCTTCATATGTGAGACATCATTAAACACCAAGCAGTGTTTCAATGCGTAAGGACTAAACTGTAATTAAAATACAACAGAGAATAGAGTAACCTTCAACTTAGTGCAGATGGATCAACAAGACTTAACAATAGAAAAGACTTCCCTCTGAAACTCTTCACCCTGCAGGAAAGTTTGTGAGTATTCCTAACACCCACAAATTGTCTCCTGCATTGAAATTATTTTATGTATTTGCTTGGCTTTTGTTATGTTACATTAGTTACTGGCTAACTTGATTTTGAGATTTCTGAATTTTTCAATTTTCAGATTTTTCACTTTACTGAAAATTGAATGCAAATTGAACCATAGTTTGGTAATCTAAGATCATCACTTAGTGAGGTGACTGTTGGGAACTTTTTGGGTGATTCTTTTTCTACTTTGACAAATGCTTTGATAGAGTCTCTTGTGCTTTGATTATATCGGAACAGTATTTATCAATTCTCTTGAATTGGTTTCAGTTTATTTCTTTTTAAACAGAAAAATAATTTGTTAATATAGGTACTCCAGGAGAGTAAACTCAGGCTTTGAGTTTACATCAGGAACTATGTCTAAGGTATTGCTCCAACAAAGACCTTGCTGGAGGTCTCACTGCTTCTAATCTGTCAATTCATTTCTGAAGCACTAAATTTAAGAAACATTCTTAAAGTATATAGACAGTAACAATGAATAAATATTCTGAAAGTGAGATGATAGATGCACATGACAAGTTTTCAGAAAGAAGTCTAAATATGACAACAGAACGAAAGGACATTTGGTTATTTAAACGTGGCCAGAAAAAAAATTAGTAGAATTAGTAAAAAGAAACTACTAAGTCTATGTGGTATAGTAAAGTCAAAAGGCTAGACTTGATATGTATTTTTTTCTTCCCTTTGTCTGCTTCAGGAAGTGTAGGTGTGACATGTAATTGTGCTTGTTATTATTTATTTCCTGACTCTCCTAAAGCATTAAATGTTTCTAATGGACATACAGAAAATAATGAATTATGTTTTAACACTTTAGTTTAAAATATTTATTTTAATCCAATTGTTAAATAACTTACTAGAGATGAGGTATAATGTGTCTATGTATGGTTGCTTTGCTAGTAAGATAAACTTTTAACTTTTTTCTCATGAAACTATTTCTTGCTTAGCATCGATAAACTTTTCACTGATAACCCTGCAATGATAAATATCTTTTTCTTTTTTTTTTTTTGGTACTGGAGATCAAACTTGGGTCCTTGCGATTGCGCAGCAGGTGGTGGTGGAAACCACTGAGCTATATCCCTGGCCTGATAAATATCTTTTCTTTAAATAGAATACGTTTTCAATACATAATGATTACATGTATTGTGGGGAATTAGTACATGTACATAATACAGCTTAATTCTTCTATTTTTTTTCATCCTCTAGCCCTCTTATCACTTCTCTCCCTCCATCTTTAGCTCCCCAATCCATTTGAAAAAAAAAAAACTCCCTACTTGCTATTTATCTATCTTCCATTTTGCTATTGCTAAATACCTATAAATCAATATCACTTGTTTACAAATTTTGATCTTACCACTTTGACTCGTAAATGTAAAAGACACAAATATGAAGAAAAGAGAATTGGTCAGTTATAAACATTTCTAATTTATTTATTATTTTTCTTGGCGGAGGATGTAGTGGTCTTGGGAATATAGAGGCGCACAATAATTTTTCACACATTAACAGCCCATGAAGAAAAAGTTCAAAATATTCTTTTGTCACCCCAGTTCTGTTTTTTAAAGCAAAATATTTTTATTTTTCCTCATATATGAAAGAAACAAATTGAACAAAACAAGAAATAAACAGAGACATGTAATTGTTTAAACTTTATAAAACAATTTTCTTTAATTAAAAATTATCCTTTCCTGGCTATTTATGGCTCCATAGCTTATTTTATAGGAATCAGTAGCTTCACCCCTTAAAAGCTCTCCTGCAAGACATTTGCTATGTGAGAGCGAATTTATGTGCTGAGAATAGTTTCATTCTTCAGTTAGGCCTTAGGTTTGACCCTATAAAATTTTTTACTCAGGAAGGTACAAAAATTTCTTCTCTTTAAATCCTTCAGGAAAAACATAACCATTTTACTAAATAAACTTGGCCATTTGATAGCATAAATTAGGGCGGTGATAAAATGTGGAAGTTGTTCAAAGGCACCTTGTATAAATTATCGCCTTGGCTACTCTCCTGCAGGAGGTGCCTTTCATCTTTTCTTTAACTAGATGAGAAAAGTCTCCATTACTGGAGAAAATGAAGGCTTTTTAACAAAAGTCCAGATTCAGCTAATAAATATTTTATAACTGCTTCCTGCAAAATATCTGAAATCCTTTCTGGAACTTGCAGTGTGAACAACAGCAGCCTCAGGAAAAATATCAGTAGTTCCGAATCAGATCGCTTGTAGATATGTCACCTTAGAGCATCTCTTTGAAGCTTAGGGTTATATATTTGCGATACTCAATAACTTCTCAAGTATTTGGTTTGTGGATCTGAAACACAATAAAGTTTATATTCCTAAAGCTAAAAATACAGTAATGCACACTGATTTAGCTATTACATTTCTAAGTCCACTGGATGCTTGTTAATTATCATAGTAAACTTCCTTCAAGACTGCTCCATAATTATTTTGGCATCTTTACTATTTAAATCTACCATTGTCAAAATCCATCTATATGGTGATAAAAAGCAGTTTAAAAATAAAGCTATATTCTATCATTCTTTTGCATTTAAAAAAATCTTATTTCTAGAAAGAGACACATTTAATATGGGTATAAACCAAATATAGAGTGATCAGCTAAATAGCACCTAGCATTCATTAGTCGAGTATTTTATACAACCCATAGACAACGTGGGGCTTTGAGACTGCCACACTGCCCAGAAATCAGTACTTTAGTAGTACAGAAAATATAACCATGTGGCATAATCTTGGATTTGAGTTATAGTTTTGCCACAGATTTTGATGTCTGATTTGGAAAAAAAAATCACTTAAAATAAAACAAGTTGTGAGCTAGAAGGGATTTCAGAGTTTTCACAGTCTAATCATCACTTTATAGGAAACTGGAATCCAGAGAGTGTAAGAAATTGGCTCAGAGCCACACAATTATTTTAGTGACTTGCAGTCACAGCTCAGTTCTTTTAATCCCAATCTAGGGTGCTTACCACTAAATAATTGTTTCTGTAGTACATTGATTATGTGTAAACCAGCTTCTGGTCTTCTCTTCAGGTAATTCAGGTAAAACAGGTACAGTTCCCTTCTGTGCCCTCCTCTCCCTTTGGAAGCCCCGCAATAGCATCTGTGTGGCGTGGAACAGAAGGACTCTTTGAACAGAACTCCTCTGAGCCTATGACTGAAGAATTCATGACAGCATGTGCTTGCACACACGCCACACACCCACAAATGTATAGCTGCTTTTCTATCACTAAGATGCCCCCAAGTGAGGATATAAATCACTAAATTAATGGAGACTATACCCTGCATATTCCAATGTTCAAATTCTCCGTGTAATATCTTGGCACAAAAGGACAGTAATATTTGCACAAATCACTTCTGCCCTTTGGAGAATTTTCACTATCATAAAGGTGATGTGACATTTGGGAATGGTTTCCCTTTTTCTTACTTTGTAGTTCATGATTTGGAAGTAAAGGAAATCCACAGGATGTAGAAACTGAGTTAGAGCTACTAGAGTATCTGATGGTCAAAAGAGATATCTGAGTTAGTATTTGATACTCTCAGGAAGCAGCCATTTCCTACATTAGAGCTATAGATTTAGTGAAAAGCACAGTCTTATCTTAACAAATTACTTAGAACTGAGGTGGTTGAGATGAGTGGTGAAAGTCTCAGGCTGCCTGGAAAATGGCTAATTGAGAGAAAGGCCTTAACCCAAAAACCTAGAAGATTTAGTCATCTGATACATAAGAAAGGGGAGCCTCAATCATTTGTGGTAGTAAAAGTTTTATAGATGCAATTAGAGTAGTTGCTTTTGTTTTAAAATATGCTTGTCATGTAAATAATCAACTTACCTCATATCTTTAATCATACATTCTTTAAGAATACATGTTGAGGCTTTAAAATAATTTGTGATGTTAACACTAATTCCATATACATGATAGCCATATGAGATCTCTGTCCGGCTCTACTGCTCACTGCCAGGAGGTAAGGGGGAGGTTGGTGTTGCTCTCTCCTGGCCCTCTTATTGCCCAGCCTGGTTGGTGGTGAATATTGTGCCCCTTGAGAGGAAGTTGGTTTTCTTTGGATGATTGCTCCTCTGAGATGGTTGCTGAGGCAATGAGTGGTGGGCAAAAATGTCTTTTAGGAGAGGTTTTACAGGAGCATGGTTTGATGACAAGAAGTCCTATAAGAGGAAGAAAGTGTTCATTCCAGACCATAGCAGAACCTTGGACACACAGCAGCCAAGATGGTCTTTCTTCACCTTAGTTCCTTAGCCCAAAGGGAGACCTTCTCAACAACCAAGTTGGCCTCGATTTTCAAGAATGTGAACAAGAGTCTTGTGTGGCTTCTTTGTGCTTCCCCCTCTGAAACATTTCTTTCTGCCTGTAGCAAGCTCCTAAGGAGCCACAGTTGAAGATGCCTGTTGATACCAGTGTTGTTTTCTGAGATGCTTATATCTGAAAGCTCAACTGCTCCTAACTAGACTTTCTTTGTCCACCCCCACCCTGATCCTTCCATTTAGAATGGGTTTGGAAGCCTTGGTAGAGTCATATGCATTCTGGCGACCTTCACTACGAACTCTCACCTTTGAAGATATCCCTGGAATTCCCAAGCAAGGTAACTCACAAACTCTCCTGAGTCAGTCAGTTCCTGGCTAGAAACTCAGGCACTAAAACATGCAGAAATTGGTACTTATCCCCAGAAAGGTAGTCTCATCACTAGCATCTTCCTGCTCTTGCATTCCGTCTCTTTTCTTTATGGAATGAGAATTGGTCATGAAAAATGGTAGTTGTAGTCATAGGTTAAATCTTAGATGTTTCAGGCTGTTTATATATTTCATGAACTTTATCTCACCCTTACATCTCATTAAAATTAGAGGTGAATGGTGGGGCTGAGGCAAGGTACACTTCATAAGAAACTGTGGTCCTAGTCCACCCTGTCTGGCTAGGTCTTCCCTTCCTCCAGCAAACTTGCCTGTAGGCAATATTCTCCTGTTGGGTGTATGATGAAGTCTGGCACACTCTGACAGACCTCTCTGTCTCTTCTCTGAATATTTCCCAAAGACCCAGGCCTTGTGTTTCTCATAGAGGGATGGCCCCACTGTCTAGGACTCTGTGCTTGCTCCTACAGTTGGACTTTTTACCAGGATCCTGCCAGCTTCAAATGAGAGGTTCACGTGGTGGGTTTCAGATTATTATCATTAGTTTTACTGGGCTTTTAGATTATTTTGAGATGCTATATAAAAGATTTATAAACTATCTGGTATTTGGAATTCTCTTCTCCCCTTAAATTCTGTTGTTTGCAAACATCAATCTGCCAGGAAATCCAGAAAAGGGGAGTCAGTCAGCCACCATCACTGTTATCTTTTAGATTCAGGATTAATCACTGCCTCTAAATTTCATAGGTCTGGTAGACTTCTATTTTTGTGTTCATATGTGATTCACCAACCTGTTTTCTGGTTGGAAATGGCATTTTCGAGGAGCTATACTATTACTCTACTACATGTTTGAGACCTACGGTACCATAGTCGTTGATGCACATGCTTTCTGCAAGAAGCCACAGTTTGAGGCAGAGTGTGCCACCAGCCAATTCAGCTTTTTCTTGAGTCACTTCTTTTTCTTTTTGAGAAAACATTTGATCCAGAGTAAGCTTTACTGAAAGAAAAGCTAAAATATGGGTAAGAAAGAGATCTTGATTATACTTTTTGAATAAGGTACAAACTAAGATGAAATTCATACTTTATGAAGTTCTGGTAAATTGAGTATATGCCAATTTACTGCAGTAAATAAAAAATTTTGAGAGAGCTAATTAAGGGAGAAAGTGCAAAACTTCTATGTTGTAATATCCTATTATTTTCTGCAATACAAAAATATATAATTCCCTAGGAAGATAATTTGCCTTCAGATAAGAAGATCTGTGCTTAAATTATTTCAGTCTGAATGGAATGAAATTATAAATTCCTAGAAAGTTGAGACCATCTCCTTTTCAGCTTTGTAGCACTCTGCCACCTCTGGTAACAAGCCATGTCTACTATGTATTTACAAAATTAAAAGGAGAAGATGGGTGTGGAATCATTCTTTACATTTCAACTTCTTTTATAGGCAATACAAGTTCTTCCACCTTACTCCAAGGTACTGGGAATGGTATTCCTGCCACCCACCCTCACCTTTTGTCTGGCTCCTCTTGTTCCTCTCCTGCCTTCCATCTGGGGCCTAACACCAGTCAGCTGTGTAGCCTGGCCCCAGCTGACTATTCTGCATGTACCCGCTCAGGCCTCACCCTCAACCGATACAGCACATCCTTGGCAGAGACCTACAACAGGCTCACCAACCAGACCAGTGAGACCTTCGCCTCACCCAGGACTCCCTCCTATGTGGGTGTGAGCAGCAGCACCTCTGTGAACATGTCCATGGGCAGCACTGATGGGGATACCTTCAGCTGCCCACAGACCAGCTTGTCCATGCAGATCTCGGGAATGTCCCCCCAACTCCAATATATCATGCCTTCACCCTCCAGCAATGCCTTTGCTACTAACCAGACCCATCAGAGTTCCTATAACACTTTCAGGTTACACAGTCCCTGTGCCTTGTATGGATATAACTTCTCCACATCCCCCAAACTGGCTGCCAGTCCTGAGAAAATTGTTTCTTCCCAAGGAAGTTTCTTGGGGTCCTCACCGAGTGGGACCATGACCGATCGACAGATGTTACCCCCTGTGGAAGGAGTGCACCTGCTTAGCAGTGGGGGTCAGCAGAGTTTCTTTGACTCTAGGACCCTAGGAAGCTTAACTCTGTCATCATCTCAAGTGTCTGCACATATGGTCTGATGAAGCCTTTAAGTTAAAATGCATTTGAATCTGTCTAATGTATTTTCAGTCTTTTTTTTTAAAGCACCGTGGAAGGAAATTATCTGTAGCTTGTAAAATGTACATATAATAGAAAATGAAGGCTCACTGAGGGTTTTGGCTTTCTCATGGTGAGACTGTAAACTATCTATGGTATATGTGTATACTGTATATAGAACATGTGGCATGTTGAAGCCTCTCTCTTTTCCTTCTACTTCATCCAGTTGCACAGAGTATTGGCACACCCATAGTATGTTTAATCAAATTCTTAGACTCTTTTGAAAATGAAGTAGTAAACTTGAAACTTGGCAATGATACTAACCAGATGAAGACTTATAACTTAATTTATCAGAAAAATTGTCTAAACAGTTCATATTGAGTTTTTATAACCAGCCTAACTCTAACTTACAGAGTCTTGTGATTTCTGTAATTCTTGGACACAGTGTGGGAACCTAAGTTGCAAAAGCCAGTTGAAGTCTTAGTATTAGTTTTGAGATGTTTGTAATATGGATTAGCTTTTGCATTCCTGCTTATTCTTATTTACTGCTAATATTATATGATCTCAGATCTATAAAATTTATAACTCATAATTTTTCTAAGGAAGGTGGAGAAGCTTGTGGTTTTTTCCACTTTCCAAAAGGCAAGGAATACATTTCTAGTATTTTAGATTTTGGAGTCATTCTATTTAGTTCATCAAATAGGCCACAAAAGAATATTCTATAAACATCCTTAAATTCCAGTTTCCACCACAGAAGGAGGAATATATGAGTAATGAGACAAAGAAATAAATCATTGTCAAATTATTTGATTTCAATGAAAAATGATTATCTTTTTAAACACAGAGAAATAATGTTGTCAGCTATCCCTTAGGTTTTCATGTAGCTTGGTTTTTCATTAGAATATTTTTTTCTTTTATTTTAAATCCTCCTGACCCATGTTCTTTGAGTAAGGAAAAGACATTTATGCAACTTATCATATTTATGTCTGGTAACTCCTACAAATTGAAACTTTCCCCCTCCTTAACCTTATCCCTCTGTCTGAGTCTTGTCCAAAACAGACAGGTCTTAGGCCTTTATGGTGTTAAAACTGCAAGGAATTTCAGAGGGTTATCTCCAGTAATCTGTCTTGTGGGGGTTGTAGTGAAAGCCCAAAGCCCATTATTATAAAGGCCCTCTTGGAGTACTAAGGAGGAAGATACTAATTATGATAAAGGAACCATAAAACTTTTAACCTCAACAGCATTTTTAACCTCTGAGGTGAGGCAATGAAAATAGTATTTCTTTTTAGAAACATCTTTGAAATAATATATACGTGGCTTATAAGTTCAAAGTAAGTAAATTTGGTAGCACATTATGAGATAAATCAGAATAGTTAAGAATGCATGATGAAGTACATTGCTGTTCTGTTGAGAAACTAAAATGATATGTTTTCCCGTCAACTCATTGCATTTAATATATGTGACAAGTGAAAAATTAGTGATTTCCTTTCACTGCTTAACAGTTGCTTTCATTCATGCTTAGTTTAGATGGGGAAAGGGTATAGCTCATGATTTGCTTCTTTACTTTAATTGATCACCATTGTTAGATATTTAGGGGAATATACTGTTTCAAAAGAATTTGCACAGGATATGACTCTGTTTAGAGATACTGACAAATTTTCTCATGGAGTCTATAAGCAGTTCACCAAGTTAGTATTGATTTTTAAGTTTAAGATTAGCATGAAGGAACATGAAATATTTGCAATAGATAGATCTATAGAAGATTTTGTGTATGACATTAATAGCTTGACAACAATTTGGGGAAAGCTTTGAGAATGTGTCTATTTTAGCTTTAGTTCTTGGTATATTTAATGGAGAATGCTTCTCCATCTTGAGAAATCAAGGAGACCGATGCTTTATATTCATATGTATTAGTAATCAGAGCATTTTCCTTTTGCTGTTGATATTTGAAATGACACCACAGTATGAGTAGAACTTTTATTAATCTTTTTTGGGTATTTAGCAATATTGTACAAATTCCATTTCTTTTAGATTTTACTGTAAATATCAATCACCGTGTCACTTCAAAGACTAACATTTTATTGTTATATTAAATGACATACATTGATAATTATAATTATATATCTGTATTTTATTAAAAAGATGCCTAAGAAATTATATTAAAGTGTGTTATTAAACCTTTTTATCATTTTGGAGGGTAATCGTTTTTTTTTGGAGGGTAATCATTTTAAGTGTCTATAAATATTGTTCCAAGAATAAGCACACATGTGCAGACCCCGAACACAAATTCGATAGTTCTCAATTACAAAGCAGGAAGAAATGGGCCTGCTGTTCATTTTTCATGTGTTAAATATAATTCTTGGTGTGTTGACCATGTCATTGAAGGTGAAAGCCCTGACAGATGTTGAACACATGAAAATTTGGATGTGAGAGGAGGAGGGTGGGGTGGTATGTTTTGTTTCAGGTCCAGGAGACAAAGGCAAAGATACAAGAATGAACTCCTTGCACCACTGACTGGTGATGACAGATTACTTCTGGCCCCTTGACTGGAAAACATTCCAAGGGACATCACGACGGGATGAGGTTGCTGCTATCAAGAGCAGTCACATTCTGAAAATTAACACTTGCTTCCATACAAGCTCCCTCACAGAGGTCAGCAGCTTTTCACAAGTGGGGCACCCAGTTGCTGACCCCTGATTTCTGGAATGTAGGGGGTCAGAAGACCTTGGTGGCTCCCAGGAGGCACAGTATAACCTATATAGAGAAAGATCACACTCATTCTTTACATTAATGAAATTTTGAGAAAAAGAAACCTCACTTTTAAAATGCAAATAGCTCTTCACCCTTCAGACTTAATCCTATCAGTAATTCACACCTTAGTGTGTAAAATAAATAGTAGCTTTGGAGATAGCTGGAGGTTTGACAGTAGAAAAAAAGGAGTAATCTTTGTAGTCAGCCAATTCTGGGAAGAGTTGGAAGGCAAGAAGGTACAAGAAGAGAGCCCCTTCACTAAACTACAGATTCCCATGAAGTCCTGGTGCAGAGCCTTTAAAAATAGTCATTTCATGAGATTATTTCGGAAACAATGATGGTGTTGGTGAATGCTACACAGTTGGTGAATGCTTCTTGTAAAGAAACCTTTATTTTGCAATGCAGCAAAAGTGTTGGGTTTCTTCATAAGGAATTTACTGGCTCATTGACATGAGCATTTTCCTAAGTTTTCTTTTAGAAATTAAATAATTTCATTAAATTTTTATCATAAATTTTAATCACATTGTTCATTTTGTGAAAATAAGTGCTCAGATAAGTTGAGAGTGTGATGAGTGGTTAAATAGATGTACGTGGTTATAGTATTCTAGGAGAGTAAGGCTTAGAAATAAACTTTCAATGGACAAATAATATAGATGCAAATAAAAAATATCTAACAGATAATAAACTTTGTATCCCTCTACATGTTGATGGATTTTCAGGTATTTTATTTTTGCGGAATTTTCTTATGGTGCAAACATCATTGCCTTGGCAATTAAGGAAGTTGCTTTCAAACCATAGTTTTTTCAATCATGATTTGGGGAGAAAATATAACTACTTTAGGTCTCAGATTTTTTTTATATATGAAAGGAGTGGCTAGGAAGAGAATCTTTACCATTCCTTTGGTTTCAAATTTATATGATCTTTGTATATAAACATTTAACTCAATATGAGGAAGCTGAAACTCATGTATTAGAATATATGTCTCTTTTTGGATATACATATCTATCTCTTTACAAAGAATGCTACAGTGCCAGGATAATTTTAAAATTATTGGATCACTTAAAATTTATCTTTTAAATGCGATTATGCCTTATTAAATTATGATACGTAGGAAAAATTTTAGTATTTTCATATTTGAATGAAGCTATACTTGGTAATGTATTTGCTACTTTGTAGTGAATAGAAAAAATTAATAAAATTTTCTTTTCATGATGTTCTCTATTGCATGGCATAAATGACATCATTGAAAAAGTATGACAATCTAGTAAAATATCTAGAGATCATTCCAAACCCATTCAAAATACACTTAAATCCTTGCAAAAACACTTAGGATCATCTTTTTGAAGGGTTTTATTCATGCTGAGATTCAGATATGATAACACAAAGCAGTTTATTACTGAGCAATTTATTCCAGAGGTTAAACGCGTCTAGATCAACACAGACGTTCTACGCCATTTTGAATCATATTATTCTGGTCTCTAGAGTAATTTATTATTAAAGCTCTATTTTTTTCTAGATAACTTTATATAGTTCACACATTTATATATGCAATTCACCTATTTAAATTAAACAATTCAAGGATTTCAAATACATTCACAGAGCTGTGTAATCATTACCACAATCAATTTTAGAACATTTTCATCACCCTGCAAAACCTTCCAGCCCAGCCTCTGAACAGTCACCCCTTTTCTCTTAATTTCTTTCTTAAGCTCAAATCCAAAGCAGCAACTACTAATGTACTTTAAGCCATAGATTTTCTTATTCTGGGCATCTCATGTAAATGGATTCACAGAATATGTGTTCCTTTGTGACTGGCTTTCTTCACTTAGCATGTTTTCAAGATTCATACATGTTGTGGCAAATATTAATAGTTCTTTTAAGTGTGTGAGCAGCATAAATGGTGCATGTTTAGAAACCTTATTACAGTAAAAGATACATTGCCAGGAATGCCTCTCAGAAAACTTCCCCTTTGCCAGGTGTGGTGGTGCACGCCTGTAATCCCAGTACTCAGGAAGCTGAGGCAGGAGGCCAGCCTCAAGTTCAAGGCTACCTTGGGCTACATAGTGAGTTCAAGGACAATCTGAACTACATAGCAAGACTCTGTCTCAAAAAAACCAAAAACCCAAACCCCAAACAAATAAACAGAAAGCCCCCAAAACCCAAAACCTCCCCCCTTGCTTCTAATACAGTTATTCCCTCATTATCACCACTTTCTGAAGTAATCAAGTCTTTCCTTAGTGTCTTTACAATCTCTGATAAAAAATATTGTGCTTACTGCCCAGTAACATACAACGTAAGAACAGGTTTGTTGAAAACATTATAATGTGTTCTTATCCACCTTATTCATCAGGTCTGGTACCATGCCATTTCTGGCCTTTCCCCAAGGTCAAAATGACTGTGAAAGGTAAACCTTTTCAATTGATTTAGAACATGGAGGCGGGCATGACAGCACAGCTAAAGACAGTCATGAAAGAACTTCCAGAACTGCTCAAAGTGGCAAAAACAATGAGATAAGTGTGTTGGAAACAAGGGGGAGGTTTTTTCATTTTGTTTTGTTTTCGAGGGGCATCAATGATGATGTATCTTTTACTGTAATAAAATTTTAAAACTTAAACATTCACTGTATTTTTGATCACACATCATATTTTTAATGCTGAATATATTCATCATAGAATATACACAACTTGTTTATTCATCATTTGATGGACATTTGACTTGTTTCCACCTTTTAGCTATTATAAATCATGCTGCTATAAATTTCTGTGCACAAATTATTGTGTCAACGTATGCATTCATTTCTCTTGAGTATATACTTAGGGGTAGAATTGTTAGTGTTCAGGAATCTTTTGAGGAGCTGCCAGGTTGTCCAGAGTACCTGCTCCATTTCACATACTTACCAGCAATGGGGGATTTTGATTTCCTTACATTCTTACTGATAGTTGTTATTATCAATCTTTTAAAAATTCTAATCAGTCTAATAATCATATAGTGATACCTTATTTTGGTTTTGATATGCATTTCCCTGATAACTAATATGGTCGGATATCTGTGTTTTATTGTTGATTTATATATCTTCTTTGGAAAAATAATTTGTTATTCAGATACTTTGCCCATCTTTTAATTGAGTTGTTTCATCTTTATTGAGTTGTAAGACTTCATTATATAGTCTAGATTTATGTCTCTTTTCAGATAATGATTTGCAAATATTTTCTTTCATTTTGTGGGTGGTCTTTCGACTTTCTTGATGGTGTATTCTGCAGCACAAAAGATCTTAATTTTTCAGAAAATCTAATTTAATTTTTCTTCAGTTGCTTGTGTTTTTTTGTGAGGGCCAAGCTATTTTGATGATTATTTTGATAAATTCTTTTAATTTGCCATTTCAAATTCTTAGTAGTAGTAGAAGCAGCACTACAAGTGAATTTTAAAAGTGATTTTTGGGTATACAAATTTAATAGTACTTGATAAATTACCCTTCCTCTCAACACACCTGAAATATTCTTGGGGAAATAAATTATTCTTCAGTTCCTTAAAGAGAAGATAAAGGCATCCTAAAGCATCATGAACTTTTTAGTATTCCATGGAAAGTGGCGGGTATTTTTCAATATTTATCCAATCAGAATGTTTATTAAGGATTTACTATTTGCTTGGCATTATTTTAGGTATTTGGGGTATAATAATAAACAACAACATTGGTGTTTCCAAATGCCTTATAAAAGTTGAAATGGTGGTTTGTTAAAGGAAAAAGAAAAACCCTCATACTCTAATATATCACAATTGGTGGAGAAAAGTGTTGCCTTTTGGCTTTTGTATGAGTCAGTACCCTCACCCTTATTTTGAAGTTACATATCCCAGATAGTCACTGCAGACTGTTTGCTCATGCGTAAAGGTACAACAGGGATATATTATCACCTTAATTTCAAGTTTGTTTTGTGGTCTGTCTTTGGAAATTTTAACATCATTTAAAACTTTTTTTCTAATTTGGTTCTTTTTAGAGAACTGTAATAAGATATTTTTCTATTATTAGCAGGAAAAGAAAACCTTGCTTCTTTAGGGTTATGGAAAACCCCTGCACATTTTTCTTGAAGGTATTTGGTAAAACAGATTGGAAAGATTTGCAGATTCATTTGCTTTAATTTGCTCAACTGAATTTCAAGGAAAAGTTAGTTGAACAGTACCTTTCTCAAAAAAAAAAAAATAGAAGCTCTCACTCTGCAATAATAAGGAGAATCTTAAAAGGTGCTTCTATCAAGGAATGCTACAAAGCCCCAGTAGTGCCTGCTGTTTGACTTGTACCTAGATGTCTCCCTAAAGCATCATGTTCTCATAGGTGGGGATTTTTGGAGGTGGCTGGATCTAGGGTATGTGAATATGGATTAAGGGTGTAA